CAACAAAAATTAAAAGAAAAATTCATTCATATGCCTCAATAAACTTCATTATGTTAGAAAAGAATCCCGTCCAACTCTCAAAACAATATTTGCTGATTAATAATCTCAAAAATCGATTCGACTTCTCAAAGACAAACAAGATAATTTTTTCCTCAAATTGATCAATGAAAATTCATTGAAAATATTTTAGATGATTGTAGCTAACAAACATTTACTGTTGTTATTGAATCAACGGTCGGGCTGATATATCGATAAACAAACTTATTTTATGATCAATTTAATTTAACACTTCAGATTTGAGAGCGACTCAATATTTATGTAATAACGTATTTGCTCGAGTGATTATCATGATTTAGATATACTTTACCATCTGCTCTTCTGTCAAAGTTATATGACAGTTTTATTAAAATTATAAGTTCTAATTTAGATAAATTCTATCCCTTGCTTATCTGTCACATCAACTTAACAGTCTTTTCTAAATTATATTAGATACGAAAGAAATATTATAACATTTGGTATTCTAAGCATATTACACTACATGTAAATTATATAGTCTTAGTTCTTTTTACCAGATGCATCGTGAAATCTGTACAAATCTGTATGGGCTTGTTCAGATAATGTTTCCTATACCTAAACTGAACGAATCATATGTCACTGCTATGCTCGACCATATTTATCATAATAAAATGTGTTGTAGAGTTTTTCCCAGTGCATTTTCTAACAACCTCAAGATTATATAATTTATCCATGCTCTGATATTTGCAAAGTACCAATTATTATAGTCTTTATGTCGCATCCAGTAGGATGTGACGAAATATAATATTTTCCATTGCTTTTTGAATCTCTTGAGAATACAAGAAGTTAGAAACATGTGGTTTTCATCAATTTTGAGGGTGTGGGTGTCGATGTGAGTAGGTATTATATTTCTCATGCAACTACAATCAAACCTACACCCACTCTTAATTATCAATTTTTCGACAGAGTTTAATGTAGTTTCGTCAGCAGGAATCATATAGAATTCTGCTGTATGATCGGATCCTGTTAGATTCCACAGGATTCAACATCGAATTCGAGTATATGAACCTTGATGGGATTACTATGAGCAGAAAAAACTTTTTTTCTCTGTTCATTACTTTTTATCATTTTCGTTACGGCAACTTCAAAACATGATATCACCGAATGAACGTTACTAATCAAAGAGCAGGAGATGCTCTACCGATTGATAACAAAATAATAATAAATCTGGCTTCTATAAATAAAGTGAAATATAGCGTAGGGCTCATAATTATTCTACGCTATACATCCTGTGTTCATCATTTTCCTACACAAGGCTATTATGAACAAAAACTAATGCTCTCAGTAGAAAAGATTCTTGTATATTTTCATATAGACTTCTGGAAAATACTTCAGGCTATACGTATGTGTTTTTTTTGTGAAAAGAATAAAACAAAAAATATAAGAAAGCTACAAAGATTTTTAGGGAAGTTGTTAAAAAAACGCTTATATTAGCTTCTATCTATTCTAAATACTCATTATATTGTTGTTTTGCATTTCGATTTGTTAGTGATAATTAACTGTATCGGAACGCAGGTGAAGATGATATTATTGATTATAAAACATATGTTCTACAAGAAATATCAAGTAGAAATGGATATTTAATTTCTACTTTATTTTTCAGAGAATTCAATAAATAATGGCAAGACCTTTGAATTAAATAGTTTGTATATAAAGTATAAGACTCATCTTTTCAGTCTAACTTTGACAATCAATGAAAGAATCGAGAACCAAAACTTTATTGTATAGTAGAACTAAGTATAATTTTGATTTAATACATTTTAACCGACTTATGTTCTATTGAGCACATCACTAAAGATATCTTCCCTTTTACAATGGTAATTAAGAATTAGATTAACATGTAACTATTTGTCGAGTTAAACTTTGATTCAATTATTTATTTAAAAAAACATAAAGTATAATTTATCTATTGCTTTATTCTTTATGATTTTGGCTTTATTTGTTCAAGTTTCCAATCATCTATTGATATTATTTTAAGAGAAAACTTCATTGACGTTGTTCGATTTACAAACGAATTAACTTGATCGATAAACTTCTGTAGACAAACAGTAAATTTTCGACATTGTTGTAATGTTGTTAAATCAACTTGAAAAGCAATAGCATAGAGTGCTTTGTTCTTAGTCGATTGATATGCAATTGTATTTTGCGATTGAAAAGTGTAATGACATGTTTCTTCACAGTCACTGAAAAAGAATGACAAACGCGATTTTATCCAGCCGATCCATGAATCAAATTCAGTAATAGTTTCACTTGAAATTATAAGTTGAACAATTGATTTCATCTTTTCATTCGGAAAATCATTATTTAAGTCAAGTATTTGCTCCAGTGCATTTGATTTATCTCCAGTTGTAATTGTATTTATTGAGTCAAGTAATTGTACAACATGTTGAAAACCTTGAATAATCAAATTACGCGTTGATTTTTTTGTTGCACGTGCTGCATTATTAAATGGTGGACTTGGTGATATAATACGCATTGAACCACGTTGATATATTTGTGGCCTTCCCGAATAGGTTACTGGTTTATATGATTTTGGATAAAGACAAAATGTATCTGCTGACCAATTAAATTGTGCAAAAGTTGAAAAAAATTGTTTGACTAATGAAAAAAATTCATCAATAGAAAATTCTTCGATTGATGACAGAGATTTGATTGGTGATAAATGTTTATGACAAATATGTGCACACAGAATAGCCCAACAATAACCACTTAGATAACCGTATACTTGTCCATAAAGACCCATATGTTGAGCCCAAGTACGAATATATGTTAGAAGATGTTGAAAGATGGGTGGCGAACGAACATGTACAAGTAGACGTTCTATATCATGCACCTAAAAGAATATTATCATATCGTTATAATTAAATTTGATTCTTTCTTTTAGTATTTGTCCTACCCCATGTATCGATTCTGGAAGATGTAAATCATTTGCAACTTTACGTTCAATCAATTGTTCGTTATTTAGTTCGATTTGTACGAATATTTCCACTTTTGTTTGATCATTAAATAAAATAGATATAATTGGAAATAATGCTTCAATTTTCATACAATAAATAATTTCATTTTTGAAATTCCCATTTATTTGTGTTTCAAGTAAATTAACAATATAATTATTCAATGTACTTGAATCATGTTTTAATTGATGAAGTGTTTCATCAAATGTTGTTTCAGTATTCACTGATTTTATTTCATTCAATAGAAATACTGTATCAACATCTTGTCCATTAATACCCTAAAAACAAAGAATATATTTAGAAAAAAATCGATATATCTACATGATTAATTTTCTTACAATACGAAAACTTCCATATGGTAAGAATGAATGAGTAAAACAATGTAATGTATCTTTATTAAAAACTTGTTGAAAACAGCGTGAAAGTTTTTCAAATTTATCTTGTTTTCTTTGGTATGATTCATTACTTTCATAGAGATTCATTGTTTGAAAAAATTCTTGTAATTTTACATGAACAGAATTAAATTGTTTATAACTGATTGAGTGAAGCATAGGACCTAATGGTATTTGATGAACAATATGAAATGGTATTGTATCATTATCATGTGGTCGTTGTAAGATGTAAAGATATTGAACAGGAAATTCAAACGATTCATTTAAAACTAAATAGAAATAAATAAATATTCCGTGTTTTTTAATTTTAAGCAAAATTAAAATCGCTTACTTAATGATGGTTTAGCTTGGTTAAATTCTTCTTGACTGTCGAATTGAGCAACTGTCATATGTGGATTATAAGTATTCCTATCATTTTTCAAACAATTTGAAAATAATTGTGCAAGTTGTCCACGTAATTGTTTAAGATGATTTGTTGATTGTTCATCACATTTCATAAAACTAACATTATTTTCAATAAATGAATCTATATCATTTATTTTAATAGAAAATGATGAAAATTGACATAATAAAAGTCTTAATTTTAAAAGAATATCTTCTTGATCATCTTGACAATCATTTAAATCATAAAATGGCCATAATAAATTAATATGTGAAGGCCATATTTTCATAGACGATTCGTAATATACATCATATGGATCAATTAATGGCCAAGTATCTATAGTTGGTAAAATGACAAGTGCAGAACGATGACTTATAGATCTTGTTCGAAAATTGATAATTAATTGTAAAGCATAATGATCAGATAGATTAATTCTTTGATTATTATCATTATTGAATGAATCAATTGGTATTGTATCAATAGCAATCATTGAAAGATTTTCAATTGAATAAGAAAGATTATATAATGTATGAATTAAATATCGATCTAAACGACGATTTATTTGTGATTGAGATGTTATTTTAGCACAAATATTACGTGATGGATCATATGTAAAACCAGGATTCTAAAAATTGTAAGCAGAATATAAGATAACTAAATTGAATGATCTGTGAAACTTTTATATAGATTTTGATACGAATAATACATTATCGTTCATCCTTCAATAGACAAAAGTAGGTGGGGGAATTTTCTACTCACTTAATGTTCACAATGTCGCTCAATATCTTACCTCATCAAGACGATAAACTTCTTTCCATAAATCATGTATGTCATTTTCATATGTTGTAAGAATATTTTGTTCTTTTGATTGTGCGTCTCCAAAATTAAAATCTCCAATAAGCATATAGTTATGTGTTTTCAGTGTTCGAAAGAGATTATTTAAAGTTTGACAACGTTTTTCAGTTGCATTACGAGCAAGATCACTATGCAAATGAAGATTAACCAGATCTATTGTAACTTTAGCACTTAAACCAAATCGAGCTATGATTAATTCTTTTATTATTTTAGGTGTTGTTGTTATTTTTGTAGCTAATTTTGCTGATTTTACGTTATCATCTTCAGAAAGATCTAGTGGACATATTGAAAATGATCGTGGTCGAAAATTTTTCATAATCAACAATTGTCCATATGATTTTTCTTCATTGCTATTAATAATATTTTTCGTTATAATAATATAATAATTATTTTGTTGAAACCATAATTCATTTAAGAGAAGATTAAGAAAACTTTTAGTTACTTCTTGTAAACAAATAATATCGGGTAAAGTTGATTTAAGTGTATCTAATATTGCTTGATATCTTTGTTGACTATGAATAAGTGTTGATTGATAATAATCAAATA